CCCCAAAACCCCAAAACCCCAAAACCCCATATTTGAATAATAATAAAGCGTATTAAATTAGAAAAATAAATATAAAGAAGGAATAAATATAACTAAAGTTGTAGTATTATAAATAAGTATTAGAAGATAAATGATCAGTAAAGATTCATCACCTAAGAAATAGAAGTTATTCTCAGACTTCGAGTTACACGAGGGCTGGATAGAAACTTGTAGAAATGAAAAGAGATCTCTCATAAGGTAATGATTATTACATATTTTTCTAATTAACTTGAATGGAAATTATGAAACTTACAATTGATGTTTAGGTCTATTAAGAATTCAATTGATTATGGTTTCGCTAAGGATAAAAAGAGAGCTCAATAGATTTTGAATATAGAGCTAGATAATCAATCAGACTCAGAAAATGATCATAAATAGTCAGAGCTGGAGAAGTCTAACTAAAACATCTACCAATCAGAAAAGTTCAAACAGAAATTGCCACAAAATGCCTCTGCTAAAAAAAGTGAAATGTCGTTCTTCGATCAGGTAATGAGCATGCGATCAGATCACTACTTAGCTCTTGAAGAAAAACGAATGGGCTTTACTAAGAAACGATTGTTTAATAAGAGTGATACTAGATGCTTGCAATCCAAGATTAACCTTAAATTTCCAATAAAGACCATGCTTAAAGAAAAGTCAAAGGAAAAGTTACAAATTAAGGAAGGCGTCATTGAGGAGTTCGAGAAGAAATACTCAGCAATGTGTAACCAACAATATTAAATCAAGAAAAATAGAGATGTCAGTCCCTCTAGTCCATTTGATAAAGATAATATCCCGCCTTTGTAATATCTGCAGATGGATTATAAAATCCCTAATAGTCCTAATAAATAAAAACCTCAGGATATAGATATATCAAAAGTACCTCTCGCAGGTAGATTGTCTGAACTTGGCGAGAAGATTTTAAGCTTAGGAAGCAAGAAGGCTTAGTATCTAACTACTTTCTAAATGGGTCAAGGTCAGCCTAAATAAGAAGAATTGAAAATCAAAACCAACAATTAAGTCTATGGAAATCCATTTAATGCTTAGCAAGAGGGAAAGCAAAAATAAGAGTAACAGAGGTTGAAATTTCCTAAAATTGGTTCTTTTAGTTAACTTAAGGACTCTGATGAGTTAAATAAAGCATATGAAAAACTTTTCAATGGGAATTTAGATGCCAGTACTCTAAAATAGTTTATGAGCTCTTAAATAGTATCTCCTGTTAACAGATCTAGACCTTTGAATGAAGTTAAGTTATCTTAGATTGAGGAGTAAAGTCAAATTTCAAGATTCAATGATAAGCTACTTAATGGTTTGAAAGAGAAGAGAGAAGCAAAAAAGCTTAGACGATCTTTGGATAGGTCAAGCCAGAAAATATCACTTTCCTAAACTTAGAACCAGTTCATTTAGTAACCGTAGTCAACCAGACACATGAATTAATCAATGTTTTCAGGAATCAAATTTAATGATAAAAATGATGGGGCTAATGCAGGTAATGGAACTGGCTACAATAGCCAGTAAAATAGTGCAGCTAAGGAAAGAGGAGAAACCGAATTGATGAAGAAAATGAGACTAGAAGGTATTCTCAAGAATATAGTCAAAAGTAAGCCTTCAATGGGAGCTAAATAAGAGGGTATGTCGTATACCAATAGACTAAGAAGTTTGGTTAATGAATGAGATCAAATTAAAGTTGATATTGATCATATTAGGATACTTAATACTTGAATTGCTTTTTACTCATAAATTCTTATTTAATCTAAATTAGTATTTAATCAAGATTTAGAAGCATGGGGTTTTGGGGTTTTGGGGTTTTGGGGTTTTGGGG